TGGCCTCCTCTGCCAGCCTGGCCTCCTCTGCCAGCCTGGCTTCTTCTGCCAGCCTGGCTTCTTCTGCCAGCCTGGCTTCTTCTGCCAGCCTGGCTTCTTCTGCCAGCCTGGCTTCTTCTGCCAGCCTGGTGTCTTCTGCCAGCCTGGCTTCTTCTGCTCTCTTGGCTTCCTCCTGGGCCACGCATAAAAGAAGCTGCTCAGTTTTAGCCAGGAATTCGGCAGCTTCTTTTCAAACGCCACATGCAGAAGCCAAGCACCCGTTTGAACAAGATGAGAAACAAACACTTCAGCAACCTCCTTGTGGCTTCCTTCAACCAAAAAAACAAAAAAGAACAACGACGTTCCTTAAGCGGTTTTTGTGGCCCCCTGTAACCGCAGCTCTGGCACAGCCGTCCCCTGCCCCGACGCCTCCATCAACGCCTGCGGCCGGTCTGGTTCTTTCTGACCCAACTGGATCCCGTGAAACAACTTGCACACCGCACAAAGAACTGACCGTCCTGTTTGGGGCTCTTTCACTCGGACTCCGGGGCCTGGACAAGCCACCGGATTCAGAGGTCGGAGATTCGCCCTTTAGCCAAGGGTTCCGCGAACCTCCCCCAAGCGAGGGGAAACAATACGGGCCCAAATGCCCCTCCGCTCCCCCCCCCCCCAAAAAAAAAAGAAGCCCAAAAACATATTAAAAAAAAGAGTCTTCAACAAGCTGAAGAACCCCATGGCATCCCCCGCGTTTGAAACGACCCAAATCCATTCCGATCAAAAACCAAGCCGCACGCCGCGCCTGCGAGGCCTCCCGTTCCAGGTCCAACAGCTTCTGGACCTGTGAAGATCCCCCCCTCCACCCAGAGGTTTTGGAATGCAAACGGTTCTTGATGCCAACGGAAAACTTGGGCGGCCCATTGTCCGCTCCAAAGGCGGCATTCCCGGCAAAGTGAAACTCAAAAAGTGGGCTACTCCGACACAAATTCAACAAACAAAAACAAGGCTGGCGCTGGCACTTGCCTGGGAGAAAAAGGATCCACTTGGCACCTCGCGCCATCTTGCTTGAAGGTTGTTTCCTTGCCCTTCTGTAAACCTTCAAAGGTGCCTATACTTGGTTGACGTTGGAAGGGGAGCAAAAATCTAAATTTCAGCAGTGACAAGCAGTTAAGTGGGGATTTCCCACCAAACCACAACAAGCAACAATGTCAAATGTTTCCCAACAACCACCATGTATAGTCTATGCAAAACGGATGCTTTTCGAACCCCTGGGACTCTGAGAGTGCCATCAGATCCCACCAAAACTCCCCCTCTCGCTCCTGCGGCGTGGCATCTTTCGGCCTCGGACAGAGCGCAGGCCGCGGTCTAAATTGGGTTGGGACCCGGGCGCACCGAAAATCCAACGGATTCACCGGGCCCCCAAAAAAACATGAGAGCCATGGATGGCCAGAACCCGTCCCTCAAGTGAAACCACCTGTTCACCCGGTGCTTTTTGTTCATCGCGAGCCCCCGCAACCTACATGGCCATGGCATGCCTTTTCCCTGGGCCCCTGGCTCGTCCACACCTCAAAGAACGAGGCGACCGGTTGTGGACGATGTACCCTCAGAATTTTCGATAATGTCCCTAACACACCACTCATTCCCAGGGGAGCTCATTTTTCAATTGGTCAAAAAGGTGAAGTGATGTTTACAACCACAACCGCCAAAAACATGAAGAAAGGGACCCCCGCTCGTTTGAGCTCTTTTGAGAAGCTGTCGGCCAGTTTCTCGCCCCCTGAAAAGCCGGCCGGCACCATGTTTTAACCAACCTATGGCAATCCAAGGAATTGCCCGTGTCCGCCGCGCACTTCTTTTCCCGCCTGAAAAGTCGTGCTGGAACCATGCTGCCTGCAGCACAAGCTTTCGGCCAAGCGGACCGGCATCAAGCACCTTCAGCACCAGAGAATGCGACAGACACGAGTGGTGTCGACACCACGAGGCTTGCGCCGACTCACTCCGCCTGGCCGATGGATCCGGGCAATGGACCATAGGAAGCTTCACTTGGGATGATCTTGAAGCCCCCCTTGGGGAACCAAAAGGTGAAAAGGCTGACTTGCTTTGGGCAAATAGGCCATGTCATTCCATTGGTTACAGTAGAAAGCATTTCGAAGGTCTCTCTCATGGGACGGGGGGCCACTGCGCAGGCAAGCGCGGTCTTAACTTTTCTGTGCAGCTGCCCGTGTCGCACCACAGGCTAAATGGATCGCATCCCACCCCGGCAATGGGTCAGCACTGGAAAAGGACCCGCCAGCACATCGCCAGGAGCGGGCGCAACCCCCGTGATCCCCTCGAGCCTTCTGGGCTTATCTCCAGTGAGCAGGCCGCCAAAACCTCTCCCTCTGGAAAGGAGCGGCTTTGCGCAACCGCCTGCTCACCGCCAAGAACTGGCTGCAACAGATGCCCAAGCGCCAGGAAGGACAGGAGATCACCTGGGATTCCGGCCATCGAGGCCCAGCGGACCTTGGATTCGGATGGCCGTCGAGACCTTGGGTTCCGGCGCCCGCCTTCTGTGACATGCCATGGCGGTTCTGCGGGTGTCAGAACGGTGCACGATATTTCTGAATTCGGGAGAGAATCTCTGAATCCCTAACTCAAAAGCACAAAATGTTGGCATCGATTCAGAGGTTCACCGGGTATATTGAGGGGATATTCTGCAGCTGCATTGGCTGCAGCCACAGCTACCGCGTGGTCTCTCGCAGCACGCACCTTTGATTGGCTCAGCCAACAGCTTCGGCCAACCAGCGCGCTTACACGCAAATTTCAAAGGCCCCCCGTGAAATTTGGTGCTGCAAGGCATCTATCTAAATACACCTGCATATTCTATATGAATAAATATATATATATATATGTATATACACCTGTATATTCCTGTAGTGGGTTTGGCATCTCGGATGGCGAGCAATGCTCGCCCATCAGGAATCGCCAAAGGGGGCTGTCTAAAGGCCGCCGCTTGTCTGCTGGCGGCAAGACGCAGGGCCCAGGTGCGCTTTGTGCACCGAAAGGCCCCACAGGGCGAGACGAAGCTGCAAAGCTTGGCCTGGCGAAAATGTCAAACTTGCCCTCGCTGCCGTTCTGTTTCGGGCCCGAAAGTCGGAGACCCCGGGAAATGGGTCCCCAATTTTACCCGTGGCCCTCGCAGCCCTCAAGTCTCACTGGATCCACCGCATGGGCCGCCCCATTGCCGGCAAAAGGCCCCCAAGCGGCCACGGACACCTATGGCCCGATGGCCGGCCGCAACAGGCTGGACGAGTTCTTTAAAACTCCGACTGAAAAGTCCCTGCCCGAAACCTACGGCACACTCACGCACAATCTCTCACGTTAGTAAACCCTTGGGTTCACAAACCCTGCGCGGTGGGGAGGTCTGAAATCCAACCGGCGAATCAAGGCCTTTGTGTTTTTCCTCCGGTGCTGGGCTCCTCTCCTCTCCACCGCTTGGGCGCGCTCCGAGTGCTCAGTAGTCACCGGGCTCCTGGCCGCGAAGAAGCGACTTGGTCAGCCGAACACGAAACCGGCGGCGCGTTTGCGGCCGGGAGAAAGCAAACCCCGAAAAACCTCCGGAGAACCCATCAGAGAACCCCCCCCAACACGGTTTAGCTTCAAGACAATGTCTCAAGAAAAATGAATCAAGGGCGCCTGTTCAAAGTGGCAAAACCCCTTTAGAAGCCGCCCCTTCTTGGCGGTGGGAACTGCTTCAAAGGGGAGCCACACACAAAAAGCAACACTTCACCAACCCTTCTTCTTTCTGGTGGCAACCAACGGCCAAAGGGGCCAAAGACCCCCCCAAAAGAGAAAAAAAGATGAACAAAGAAACCGGCCTCCTTCCTGGGACGCGGGCATCCCGGTCCCTGAACCCTGTCAGGTTTCAGCAACCGCGCCTCTCCGAGTTGCGCCGCAACGAGCGGCGCCAAGCCCAGGCCCAAGGCCTCCATGTGCCATGGGGGGGGGGGTTGACGTGGCCATAGGTATCCTTTTAGGGGAAACAAACGGCCCTGGATGATTCAACCAGGTAAACCAGGAATCGCAATCGATTTTTCTACCAAAACAACCAAAAAGGACACCTATGGACGTGGGGTTGTGGGGGGATGGGGGTTGCTGGGGGGTGGGGAGGGGTGGGGTTGGGGTGGGCATAGGTGGCCCTTTTAGGGGAAACAGATGGCCCTGGATGATTCAACCAGGTAAACCAGGAATCGCTATCGATTTTTCTACCAAAACAACCAAAAAGGACACCTATGAACGTGGGGTTGTGGGGGGATTGTGGTTGCTGGGGGGTGGGGAGGGGTGGGGTTGGGGTGGGCATAGGTGGCCCTTTTAGGGGAAACAGACGGATTTCCCCGGTGGATTTCAACCACCAGGTAAACCAGGAATCGCCATCGATTTTTCTACCAAAACAACCAAAAAGGACATGTATGGACGTGGGGTTGTGGGGGGATGGGGGTTGCTGGGGGGTGGGGAGGGGTGGGGTTGGGGTGGGCATAGGTGGCCCTTTTAGGGGAAACAGACGGATTTCCCCGGTGGATTTCAACCACCAGGTAAACCAGGAATCGCCATCGATTTTTCTACCAAAACAACCAAAAAGGACATGTATGGACGTGGGGTTGTGGGGGGATGGGGGTTGCAAGGTGGCCCTTTTAGGCGAAACAGACGGATTTCCCGGTGGATGATTCAACCACCAGGTAAACCAGGAATCGCCAGCGATTGTTCGACCAAAACAACCAAAAAGGGCACCCCATGGACGTGGGGTTGTGGAAGGATGGCTGCTGGGGGGTGGGGAGGGGGAGGGTTGGGGTAGGGGGGTGGGGCTTGCTTGCCATAGGTGTCCTTGGTGGAAAAGACGGATTTCCCTGGTAGATGATTGAACCACCAGGTAAACCAGGAATCGCCCTCTGTGTTAAGCAAACCAACCAAAAAGGACAGCTATGGTTGGGAGGGTTGGGAATGGTTGGGGGTGGGTGGTTGGCGGGGTGTTGTGGGGGGGGGGTTTTTGGGGGGTGCTGGGTGGTGCTGGGTTGCCATGTTCAACCTGTGGATGGGCTGAGATCAAAATCCGAGACACGACATCAGAAACCATGGGAATGAAACCATAAGGTTGGTATTTGACTCATTCCAGGGCTCAGGTGCTGCAACATGGATTTCGCCCATCCACATTGCTGCCACGGTTTTTTTCGGGACCTCCGGATCCAGATCCGTTTGCCTCTCCTGGAAACGTCGACTCCCGGCGGTCCGCTGGCTGATAGAAATGGTTGGGCCACAGCCACAAGTGGCACCTCGGACCACTTCCTTTCAGGGGCCGGGTCCCTTTAAAAAAGACAATGGTCCAAGCCAGGGGAACGTGGAACGGTTCCATGTGAACAAAGGTGGGAGGGTACGAAAAACCTCGTGAGGTTTAAGTCCTTCTCCGCTATATTGGGTTGCACCCGATTGGTCCCAAGGCCGCCACTGAACCCCGGTGACCCATTTCTCGAATCTTGACCCCCGAAGCATCGTACCCCCAGCTCCGAGTGTCCGGAAAGACGGAAATACCCAACGTCAGGCGCCTTGGAAAACCATCTCTACTCTTGGTATGGTAGCAAAAAACTTTGTTTTTTGCAGACCCCAATAAAAATGAACAGAACCAAAAAACTAAAAAAACCAAAAAACATGCCAAGAACGGTGAAGAAAAGGGCACTCCCAGCCCCCGGTCTTGACACAAGTCGATCTCCAGACCGCCTGGGAGCCGTTGGGCGCCAAGTGCAGGCCGTCGCCCTCCCAGAGCTGCCCATTGGCCTCGCGAAGCCAAAAGGAGCGGGGCGAAGAGACTGGGCAAGGCCATGCCTGGCGTCTGGGGCTGGTCTCAAAACCAAAGAACCCGTCAAGTCCTGCTGGCTCCCCTTTAAAACCACCGGCGGGGGGGGAAGGGGGGGGGGACTCCCCAAAAAGAGATACCACACCCGGTTGTTTTCCCCCCCCCCCCCCCCGTGCGGTGGCTGAAATGGCACGCCATGCTTAATCTCTTGCTGAGTGGATGGCCCAAAAAAAAGTTCAAACTATATATTTACCACTAAAATGGTCTTCCCAAAAAGTTTAAAGTTCATGAACTCAGGAAGTGAGTAATTCCCGTGGATGTTCACGGGCTTCGCCCGTGAAGCCACGGTTGCTGCGAAGCGCCGAAGATCCAGGCCCAACCCACCCAGTTGCAGCCGGGACGCGGTTGAAACCAAGTCCTCCGCTGCGGAGTTCGCAGGCGAGGGGCGAAAGATGCCCCCAGGAGGAAGGAAAAAAACCTCCCGTGGGCTGTCATGAGCTCAGGGAACCCTGAGTCACTCATTTTCCAAGTACGGTTCAGCAACCTGACGTGAGGAACCCTAAGGAGTCAACTAATTGCTGATCACGGGAGTTCCACAGCCTGCAGTAAGGAATCCGTGAATCATTACTAGTCACAGGAGCTGATCCGGGCAGCGAACTGTTTTTCCCCATTCGACGCCGGAGCTCCCTAACTTGCCAACCCGTACATCTTAACCAGGTGCCGGGTGTGGCTGCGCAAGAAAGAGCGAGCGGCTTCCTGCAAGATTGTGGGCCGCTTGTCACGGCCACTCAAACCAATGGATGTGGCCATGTCACCACACTCCGTCCCAACGGACTTTGGCACAGGCGGTGCCCTGCAAACTTTCGCGCGCGGGGATAACTTGGCAGGGAAGGAGAAATAACAGTCCATCGCCTGTAAGGGAATCCGTATTCCCAACACCCGGACTCGGTCACTCCCTGCCTATCGCACTCGCAAGTTTTGGACTGTGATTCAGGACTTTCACCCCCCCCCCCACCCCAAAACCGTCTCACAGGGGTCAATGTCCTCCAAGGTTGATATTTCCTGGTGGTGGCCATTGAAACGATGGACCCACTGCTGGAGGTGAGAAAGAATGGCTCCGAACCCCTGCTCCAAGGCTTCCATTTGGCCGCTGTTGCCAAAAGACGAGCAGGGAGGTGCCGCCAAGCCGCTGCCGGGTCGAGGAAGGCACAAACGGAGGTGCTGCAACTGGCGAAGTGGCGCAGCCTTGGCCAAGGGCACGCGGGCACGCGGGCGCAACCAACTTAGCGCCTCAAAACGGGGCTACCCTCAGATCCCCCGCTGAAAGTTTAACTTTTAGTGGGTTGAATGGAAGCTACCACTAAGCACTAAAAAGCTAAAAGGCTAAGGGGATGGCTGAACGCCACCAAGTATTGGTTGGGAAAAACCCATGAGTTTCAATGAACCATCCGGGCATGCGCGTGCATGTGTGTGTGTGTATCAAAAACAGGTTCTAAACCAAGGTGAATACTGTACAAACTGTACCCTCAGAAGTCCGTGCACCCTCATCCCTTGTCATTTCCTTTGGTTCCTGAGCTTCATTCGAATTCCCGCTCCTTTTCTATTCTTCGGGATCCTTCTGAGCCAAATGGAAGAGAATGGGGAGCAAGCACAATCAGAGCTGCTTGGGGTCGCCGGCTGTCTTCAAGTGTTGCAGCTTGGTGGGTTTCAAGGATGGGGCCTGGCAGCTGGAAAGATGAGAAACAAACAGCCATCCCCTGTCCCTTTGGAAAAAATAGAATGTGACATCTTTGGCGTCCAAAAGCGTGTGGAGTTCAATGGAACTGGCGTCGCAGTCCAAAGAACGGAAATTGAGGGACGAATGCCACTGTTTGTCCCAGCCGCCCTATGAACGCCAGGTGGATTTGCGTGAACCATGCCGACCACCACATCGCATTTAATGTTAGCTACTGAATTTAGATGACAAGGGCGGGATGAACATGCGCCCAAACAATGAGCCCTGCAAACCACTGGATCTGGACTTGTGGTCCTGACGTAGAGAGTTAGAATAAGGGTACCCCTTTTTTTGTAGTCTATTTTGGTAGGGGAACCCTCCCCCAAAAAAGAAACGGTAAACAGGGCACTACTAGGGGACCTAGGAATCTTCGTTGGGGACCTCTTGGGACTTTCATTCGGGAATGCCCAGCGACTTGGTTCATGAGACTTAAGTTTTCCCTCAAACCAGGGGAAGGGGTAGCGCTTGCCTTACCCTCGCTATGGCACAGCTGGTGCGGCCCAACCGCTGTTGGCAGAGGTACTGTCGCTGCACTTCCTGGCGACCAACTCGCACCCCCCCCCCCCCCGGTTTTTGAGACAAGCCCAAGTGAATGTGGGCGGATCAACCGAACCCCACAAAAGTGATATCCGGAATCCGGACGCCCCTTCAGACCATCAACCAGAGGTCGGCCTTCTATCTACAAACATGGCATCTGGGAGAGGGTACCTGGAAGATGGTTCTCCCTTCGAGGCAGGTGCCATCCAGTGTGAGTTCCCAGAGTTCTCTTCAAAACTGGACTGTCCGTTTTCTGAAAGCAAACCCAAAAGTAGGCCTAAAAACCTAAAGGGGACGGCTGGGAACCAACCAAGAAAAGGTTGCCCAACCGGGTCAGATGCGGCGTGCGCTCCCGCTGAATCCCCGACCGTGCCAAAGGTGAAACGAAACTAACACGCAACGCGACCACAAGGTGATGCCGACACCCCAAAAATGCGGAAGATGACAAAATCACATCCGAGTCTACTCCAGGTTTAGGGGCAAATCAATCCAGAGGCTACATTTTGTCATTTCCCAATTGTGAGGCAAACCATCCTTGGATGTTCAAACTACTTGGCGAGGAGGTTGCAAAACCATGGTGAAAATGAAACCATCCCTTCTTGCCCTCAAGCACAACCATGGTGCTCCCAACTACTTGCATAGTCGGTTGAACATCCAAGTGCACGTCCAAGAGCCATGTTAAAATTGCGGGTACAACGGTTTATATGGCACAACGGTTTATATGGGTCTGTCTCCTTTTGAATGGCGGCTTGTTGGAAACCCAAAGGAAACCAACCAGTTTGGGGGGTCCCCTAAAAAAACGAGCCACCCAGAAAAAGGCTCTTACCGCGATTCACGCGAAGGTAGAGCTCCAAATTGGGGCGACCTTCTTCGGTATTCTATTTTAGTAGGGGAACCCTCCCCCCAAAAAAGTTGGGTGAGAAAGGCACCTAGCTGGGTGACCTAGACTCGGTTTTGGGGCCTAGAGCCCTGGCCTGCATTTGCCCATACGCCGGCGCGGGCGGGGGCGCCAGCACCATTGTCGGCACACCTGGCTTCACTTTGGGCTGCTTGCGCAGCAAGGCGCTCGGGCGCTGGGGTCTCGGAAGCCCTTGGTTTGGAAGATGGAAACCAGAGGAGTCACAATCAAAACATCTGGTATTAAGAGTCTCCGCGACCCTTTGATTGTGACTCATGAATCTACCTGGAGTCTCCGCCACCCTTTGAAAATGGGGTCCTGACCCCTTTCTTTTGGCTGACCCGAGTTTCTAAGGGTCATGGAGACTCCACAGGGCCACGCTTCAAGAATTAAGAAGGCGGCTGCATCTATGCATAGTTGCGATTGTCCTTTACCTTCATCTGCCCGGGTTTTGACTATGGCTCAGATGGAAACTCGTTCCTGTGCGGCAACTTGCAGCCTCAAAAGATTCATTGGGACCCCAATGCAGCTTGCCTCAAGACTAACAAGGAAAACCGCATGGTGGATCGAAACCGGAAGTCGAATGGAACCCAGACGCTCCCCCTTTGGGTAGGGCCAAATCTTTGAGGCTGCAAGTTGCAGTCCGGGCCAGCCCCTGGACCCCAAAGCGGATCCAGACGCGGACCATACACGATCCCAAAACAAAAAGGAAACCTCCAGTCGGAAGGTTTGGTTCGGGGTCATTCCCCCCTTGAGAAGCAAGTGAAACCACGGTGAACAAAGTTGCAGGGAAGCATATGGCAAGCCATTTCCTTGGAAAGGGCATGACACCAAAATGGGCCAAATGGGGGGAAATAAGTGTGACATGTTCAGCCAGCTGCACTGTGGGACAGATTGCTAGGTGGATTCTTCCAGTATTTTTGGGGGTTCATCTATGCTTAGTGCGGTCAGGTCCTGAGCTGTTTGAACAAAACATCCTCTGGCCTGAATTGCGTTTTTGCGGGATTCTGCGGTAGTGGGCATCAAAAACTTCCCCGAAAATTCAGGCAACCACCAGCCAACTGTTTTTTTTGGCGCCTGAACAAAAGATTCCAAGCCATGCGAATTCAAACAGGTGTCATTACATTGATGGTTTCTATGGTTTCTACGAAAATGATTGGGGTTGGTTTCCTTTACCTACCACCCTGTTGGGGGGGTGGGGGACATCAAAATATTTTCTGGGACTTCAAATCACCACCATGTGGCTTCCGAGAAAACCCGCCTCCGAGCCTTAGGCGCTGAAGCCGCAACCAGGCCGACCCGAAGACCCCGCCTCTGTCGTGGCAAACTGCATGCAGATGGCTCAGGTCCTGCCAGGCGGAGAGAAGTTTGCGAGCGGCTTCTTACTCGCGGCTCAGCACCAGGCCCTCATGCGGCGGATCTTATATAATGAGGGCGGGTCTTGGGTTTGTTTGGGGTTCATTTGGGCTGCTGTTGGGAGGGTTTCAGGTTGACTTTGGGTTGGCTTGGCCGCTTCAGGGATGTGGTTGCTCAAGTTTTGGGCTGGTTTGGGTGGTTTGGGCAACCAATCCCAAACCAGCCCAAAACTTGCAGAACCACGCCCTGAAGCAGCCCAAAAGCTACCCCTCGCGCACATCAGCTCCAAGCCAACCCAACCGACTCAAAGTCAACCTGAAACCATCTCAACAGCAGCCTGGATATCAGCCCTTTACCAAGGCGAATGAACCAACAAACCCAAGACCCACCCTTGAAGCCGGCCCTGAACTGCCAAATCAACGCCAATAGGCAGCCCTAGTCCAAGCGGGACTGGTGATGCTGGGGATGCGGCCGGTTAAGCCCGAGCAACTCTCGCTACGCAGCTCTGACACCAAGTGACCGGATGCTGCGGATGCGGCCGCCCAGCCCACCAACCAACCAACCAACCAACCAATTCTTGGAATGGATGCTTCGGACCATTGTTGGGTCTTGAAAGGGAAACCAGCCATTGAAAGGGACACCTGGCCATGGTGGACCACAACATTGGAGAAAGGCTCAAGCCATGGGTGTGAACCGTGCCCTATGGCCGGGACAAGAACGGCCCGCCGAAAAACCGCGTCACGCACAAATCACATCTCGCGAAATGGCGGGCCGGCATAGAGGCCGGCCAGTTTTACACTTGGGCATGTGCAAGCCGAGTTGTAATCACAAACATGACCTACACAAATCCTGCTCTGTTGCTCATATGCAAAGCCACCTCAAAACTATTTGTGCAGATTACAAACCCCCCAAAAAAAAGAATCGCAAGTACCACTGTGGATGGACGGAATCCTGCACCACTTTGAAACCATGGGAAACCTGTTTGTTGGTATTTGTAGGGGAATCGAATCATTCCAGAGTTTCTGAACGGTGGTGCGTTGCATGGATTTCGTCCATCCACAGTATCACAAGCACGGGACTCCACAACTTGCTCAAAAAGGTCCAACCGAATGCCGCAAGAAGCATTTCTGGAATCTGTCTGTCACACTTCATGGAGATCCCGCCAAAAATTCGTGAAGGTTCCTAATTAACAAAACCATAACTAACAAGAAAACAAGAAAGGAAAAACAAGCTCCACTATGTCAAGTCTTCTGCTCACTCGCTAGTGAATATCATGTCCGGCCCTCCTCGACAATGGTGCTGGAACAGGTCCCGCGACCCATATCGTTGGTGCCGGACATGATGATCACGAGATCCTGAGAAGTCCAGGTAACCAACACCTTGAGCTGGAAGCCTTTCTGTGGAAACCATCCGGCTACCTCGAAAAGGGAAGGAAACCATCACTTAGAGCCAGCCAGTGTCTTCAACATGCGCAGAATTGCGCGCACGCCGCACGCGCATGGGAGATGCAGAAATGCAAGCCTCCTCTGGCAACTTCACGTCCGCACCACCAGTGCACACTGCACATGTCCCAAACAAGAAGGGACGAGAAATGCAAAATTGGAAGCGAAGGTCAGACTCGAACATTTCAAGCATCAGCCATCTTTGCCCACCAACTGGCCTCAAGAGTGGCGGGGTGGAAAGAACAGGCTTGCCATGAGGTCCCAATTTGAGTCCAAAAGCTGCAGGGCTGGGATGGTCCGCATGTGCGCACCCCCGCCCTTCCCCGTTGTGTTGCTCTTCTTGGGGCTTTTTCGTGGCTGGGGGTTTCCTTTGAGCCCAACTGGGAGGTACAGTCTCAATGGATCTCATCAGAAGCTGAAGCCCAACTAAAAGGCACGCCACGCTTGAACCCCCGGCTTCGAGAACGTGCCGAGGCGCGTAGGGCTTGGCGTCCAAGATTCTGGAAAGACCATTGCCTGGCGAAGAAGAAGTCATGAAGAGCAGGGAGCCACCAACTCACGCATCTGGCTGAAACACTTGCTTATTGGGAAACATTGGCCAAAAAGTGGGCTGACCCCAAAATCGCTTTGGCTTCCCTGCTTCCCTTTCACCGCGGGCCCGATCTTCGACTCAAAAAACCACATCCCTACCAAGCG